AGACCGCACGAGAAGGCCAAATCTCAGGCGGTAACCAATTTAGGCCAAGAGGAAAAATGGCACCCAACAGTCAAACTTGAGGCAGCAAATGTGGAGTCAACGCACGAGAAGAAACAAACAGAAGTTTGTGCGAGTGCGGGAGTGAAAATAGGGTAAACAGAAGGGGGGAAAATCCATACAACCTCCCTCAATTATTGAGGAAGTCCGACTTACGTCCCTCAATTAGAAAATCGGATTTTTAAACTCCTCCAGCTCTTGAAACCTTAGGATTCGTATGTGTTTGATTTCAGGACTTCATGGGATGGGTTGGCTCCGTCCTGGTTTTTTTGGGTTAGCTTGAACCCATTTCACGTTTGGTTAAGGGGTTGGGGTTGTCCTTGGTTTCTTGTTTGGTTGGAGGTGCATGTGAGGTGGGTTGAGCACCCTAACATGCGGGCCCAAGGTGTCAGCCTCTCTTTCTCCTTCTCCCGCACACGGATCTCTCCAGCTCGTGATTCCAACCCACCCCACCGCTGCGCACCTGCCGTCGCTACGCGTCGTGCTGGCGCTGCTTGCTAGGGCCCCACCGCCATTGCAACTCACCTCCCAGGGCTTCATCCGTCGGAGCTCCACTCGCCTCCCAGAGCTTCATCCGCTGGAACAAAAGGGCCCCTTGCAGACGTGCAAATGCAGACGACGCGCTATCTGATGGTCCACGGACAGCAAGCCCGCACAGCTCCTGGCGACGGTGATTCCTAGTGCTAACGAGGAGCAGGCGACAGCGAGATCCACGGTGATTCCTAGCGCACAACGAGGAGACCGAGCGTTGGGGAACTCACGCGTGAGGGTCACGAGAAAAGTGGCGCGACCCCGTCTGCATCCAAGGGGTATATTCCCTATCAGGTTCAACCCAACCCAACTTAGCTCCCAACCAAACACTTTTGAAATCTGTGGGTTCAACCCGACCCCAACCCATGCCAACCCTCCATCCAAACGCTAGCTAACTTCCTGAGTGGTTTTAGTGAACGTGTCATGTCAGCGTCCTACGTGGTGCCACATCAGCCAATAAGGAGGTATATCAGACTTCTCACAACAGTTCAGGGAGATCCATTAGACTTTATAGAAAAATTGTAGAAAAAACTTTTCGGATAATTATCTAGAATAAATATGCATTAAAAAATACTAAGAAACTGATTTAACTAACCAAAACTTCTCCGATCACTAGATTGCCCTAGACTGGTTTTGGACGGCAGGTGAAATAGAAATGGGATTTCTTAAATCAGTAATACTGCCAAGCAAACGCCAAATACAACCCATGCACTTCCAGTTATCAGGTTACTTCATAATCCATTACCTGGAATTCACATTGCAGTACAATGATGATGAGCAGAGATACACAGAATTAGCATAGCCAATCATATAACCACCGCTATGCAGGCACACTACTTCAGGTCAGTAAGTTCAATACATAAGAGAGCTTCGATGCTGACACAGAGTCAACAATAAACTTCGGTATAATCACGAACAGGAGAAACACATCCGAGATGAGGAAACATCCAATGATTACCCAAAATAAGGTGCAAAGTTCACGGGGATGCTTTCACCTCGAATGGTTACTCTGGGAAGCAAAAGCTCATTACACGTCGGGTGGTGAACCACCAGGAACCAACTGTGACAGGACAAGTGAGTGTGTTAGACATGGCAATCAGCATTAGACAATAACGAAAGCACTAAAAATGAGCATTGTCTGATCATGATCCTTACAATGGCTATGTTGTTGCCGTTCAGGAGGATCTGGTCGAGTTTTGTAATGCGGCGCCCTTCAGCAGTGTATTCACTGCAGGATAAGACATGAGGCTGGTGAGATTATGGACTAAAATTCAGAAAAGTAATTGAACACTAAAAATCTTGGTTTCAAAGGCAAGGCGACCCAAGGCAAGCTAGGTATGCCTTGTCGCCTGACAAGGTGTGACTAGACCCCTAAGGCGAGTTGGGTCCACCCGGACATCTAGGCAACGCCTTTGAAATAGAGCTATAAATCACTAATAGAGCAGGTGAACTGGTGAAGAAACTAGATCTAAGTTAACTTGAAACATTTGTTTCTATTATAGCTAAGTGTTGTAACTTCAGGTTCGTCGGAGAACAACTGATATCAACGTTTTGATTCACCGAAACTCCTGCTGCGCTTTCAAAATATACAGAAAAATTTACTGTAAGTTACAAGGCATGGGCTCGGGGAAACCAGACAGTTCACCATCTAGTACAGCTTTAAAATGGATCCTCTTCTAAAGAAGTGTTGGCTTATTGCAGCTTATATACAGAATGGCAAAGAAAATGAACTACCGTCTTTTGCTGCAAGGTAGGAGTTTGATTTAAAAGTTAAGGAGATAGCTTCTGTAATTCTGGAGTTCTGAGTCTCTTAGAACCAGGAGTTTATCAAACCTCCAAAACGAATCATGTTTTGCAAGTAGATATGAATGCGATCACTAGATAACTTGGCTGCATCTCTGTTGTCTTTCACTAATAAGATTGGACCATTCTTACTGGTGGAGCTTTCTAAAGGACAATGTTCTGAATGCTATGGTGTTTTTCTCATCAAGTAATTAATAACTGAGCAGTAGGGTCGTGCTCCCTTACAAAGTTATGAAGCGATACCAGTTAGATTAACTATCTCTTAGACACTATTCAAGCTCCACTGCTTTCATGTAACGAGCACAAACTATCTTTTTTTTTCATTAAAAGTTATGTAATATCCAAGCCTGCTGACAGAGGAATTGGTCTGAAGTACCCTCTATAACAAAGATCTCGTCCGCAATTCACTAGGTTAGTTATATCTAAGAAATTATCCAAGCCCCACCAACATGATGCCATGAGTATGAGCAACATTTTTGCACTAAAATTAGCAACAACTGGGGTAAGAAAGTGGTCTGAGCTAGTACACTGAAGAAACATCTAACCAAACAAGGGTAACCATCAAGATACGAAACAACGTAGAAGAACATAGACTAGGGTTTAGGGGTTTGGGGGTGATCTTCGACATACTACTCGGTGACGTCCTCCAGCACCATATTGACGTAGACATCAAAGCCGCAGAGGGTGCCAACGAGCTCCTTGTCCCCCTTCATGATCACCCAGATCTTGGACCCGATGCACCGGTCGATCAGCTCTGGTCACCGCACCAATCCGCGCACGCCATGCAAAAGGAAACAGCCGATTCAAGAACTCGAACCCCCAAAATATAGAATGCAGAGACAACCGAATCGCGAGCACAGCTAAACGTAAAGTGATATATTCTTGGGTCCGTCGCGCACCTGAGGGGAGGAGCTGGGAGGGGTTATTCTGAGACATGGCGACACCTCTGGTGGGTCGGTGGCAGTGGGGGCGGTGGGGATCGGTAGGCGACTGCAACGGCGGAGGAGGGCGTCGGCGGCGGCGCAGAGATTGGGGTTTTGCTTCTGCGTTGGGTTGGATGGGTCCTTTCGTCGATTTGTGACGAGAAGGCGGGGCACAGCGGAGCCGTGCGGTTAAGCCGTCCGATTGCAAAATCCACGGCGCATATCACCACTGTCCTCCCGGATCTGAGCTGGGCTGAGAAGCATCGGTGTACTGATTGGGCCGGTCCAACCCACCTGCCATAAGAAGAAAGCCCGAAACCCAAAGCCTACGTTCCAAGATGGGCTTGGACTGGTGCCATCGACGATAATCTAGCCCTTCTAATCACAAGCCCAAACTACATCCTCGGTCGGAGCTTAGGTTTTTTTTTTAAGTCGAAGCTTAGTTATTAGTCATGGAATTGGATGACAATGGATCTATACCGATGTTGTTGGATTTACCTCAATCCACATGTGTTGAGGTGGATCGAGGTAAAAATTTAGTTCAAAAGTTCCACTTCAACATATGTGGATCGATGTCGATTCGCCTACATCCAAACAAGGCCTAAGTATTGCCCACTTATTATATCTAACATTCATTAAGAAGATTGTTCACATCTAGAAAAAAAAATCTATACACATGCATAAGTACAACTTCGTAGCCATATCTATACCATATAGATAGCAGGTACCATTGAGTTGGCCGTTCCGAAACAAAAGTATGATGACACATATATCGAACTATTACCATATAGTAAACAAATTATACATAAATCTATAAATATATGAAACAAATGTAGTACTACCTTCATCCTATGTAATTCTGAACCTGGTAAAAGTCTATCTTCAATTTAATCAAATTTATAAAAAAAATATTATCACATTTATGACTCTAAAATAAATACGCAATCAAAATTATTTTCATGCCGAATGCGAATATTTTTATTTAGTATGGCAAATATTAGTACATTTATATGAAAGTCAAATTTTGAATCATTTGACTTAATACTAATTTTGAATTAGATTTTGTTTGGAAGGGAGAGAGTAGGGTTGTGTTCGGCTGGTTGCCGGCTGGCCAGCCACCTCACAGAATCATTGTTCACGTCCTGCCAGAACAGTATTTTTCTCTCACAACAATCAGGCGGGATAGTATTTTTTAGTCCTGCCGAACAGGCCCTAGCTTTCTAGCTGCACCAATGTCTGACAGTGACAGGGAATTTCTTTTTTTTTCTTCAGAGAAAGAAGTGACGAAGGCGGCAAGCAATGGATTGTTAATGGTGGCCCACATGGTCGGCGGGCCCGGTGAAAACCCAACATGCACATGCTCGCCTAGCCGCCCATACATTCAGCTCACATCAAGCCCACCCGAGGCGTCGGTTAGGCCGCGCGCTCCACCTTCCTCGACCTCCCGACGCGTGCTCACCTCCTCCTCGCAGCGTGGATCCGCTGCACCAATAATCAACTCCGGTAAAATTAAATCAAATCTAGGAGTGTGTCCTTTCTACGTGTCCTCGTACGCGTGGGTGCGAGAACCCACTAGGAGCCAGCTCACAGTCTGTTCTCTTGGATCGGGAGGAGCAGAGCCGAAGTGACGGGATCAAGATTTGGATTTGAACCCGGACGACGGGAGGAGGAGGAGGAGGCCCAGTCATGGAGAAGGAGGAGAAGCAGGAGCTGGAGGGTGCCGCGGCGGCGGCGAGGCGGCGGCTGGTGATCGGGGTGGGGTTCTGGGTGCAGGGCTTCCGCCTCTTCCCGTGGCTGGGCGTCAATTTCTTCCTCAAGGACGGCATGGGCGTCGCCGCCTCCTCGCTGCAGATCCTCCAGGCCTCCGCCAACCTGCCCATGGTCGCCAAGCCGCTCCTTGGCCTCCTCTCCGATGCCGTCCCCATACGCGGCCATCGCCGCCTGCCCTACGTCGCCATCGGCGGTACGCCCTCTTGGCCATTCTCTTTTACTATCCTGTTGTATTGAGTATTTCCTGCCAGATCCCGAACCCACATCTGCCATTACCAATTCACGTCGTCGTTATTCTCATCGTACCTTTCCAGGACTTAATCTAACACATTGCTCCCGAATCTTGTTTATTGCTTGATTTTGGGAATTGTATACCACCAGGATGGAATTTTACTCATTTTTGTTATCCGAAAGCATAAATATATCTCTTTACTTTAATGTACCTGTTAAAACCTGCATGTGCTATTCAATATATGTATCTCCTAAATCTAGCTCTTAAACATGAACGGAGTAGTTATCATTGAAGCCTAATAGCCTATGAATATGCGTAGCATTTCTCTGCTTTCGCGTTGTCTTCCCAGTGACAGAATAAACACCTGTGGATCTTTCACATTCTTTTCTCCCGTGTTATCGGTAAATGTGTGTCCCATGGCAAATGACAGCACCGCAAAGAATATGCTCACGCACCGCCTGTCCTCTTGCCCTTCCTCACCGGTCCCGTCTGTTCTCTTTAACCTTTTCTTTTCTTCTTCTAATTACCATTCGTCTTTGTCTTTTTTTGCCTCCCCCACTCGCCTTTCAAGGCAACAACTTTTATACGGTCCTCCACCAAATTTGCTGTCTTGTTGATGTTTACACATTCACAAATCACCAAGCTAGAAAGCTCCCAATCCAACTAGGTCACGCATGAATGCGCTGTCAACTCTTGATGTGGCCCTAGCTGTCCACTTTAAAATATTCTTTCTTGCCCAACACAAGTGCCTTGATGAAATTCAAGGATGGTGAACCAACTCATTCAAATGTCCCATGATTCAAACTGTGGCTGCAGAGAAAATATGTTTTACTATGCACCTCAATTTATAAACACCATCCAAACAATTGGCTAGCATCACTTGAATCTTTGTATTTCAATTTATCTTGAAGCATTTAATAGTTAGCTACCTTGTTGTGGCAACGATAAATACTTTGCTCAATCTGTCAATCACATCAGTCAACAGAAAATATGGCCTGAGAAGTACCCAGTTAATCACATCAGTTAACAGAAAATATGGCCTGAGAAGTTCCCAAAACACAAAGTCAAGTGAACCCAGGGGGACCTAGGTTCCACACCAAGCCATTTTAGGGGCTACTTTTAGCATGTATTTATAAATCCTTGATGAATGGATAGGCATAGAAATCACGTCAGCATTGTACTTGCAGCATCTACTCTTTCTTACTGAACTTTTGCATTTACCATGCTAACTTGCCTTTTGATTGTTGTGGTTCCAGCTCTCTTGCAGGCAATTTCATGGCTGGCAATTGCACTTTGGCAAGATATCTCTCTTCAGGTTCTTACCATTTTTCTCCTCTTGAGCAACTTTGGTGCTTCCATATGTGAGGTTGCCAATGATGCCATTGTGGCGGAGGCTGGGAAGATAGTGACATCTTCCTCGGGATCGGGTCAGCTTCAATCGTTTGCTTGGATGTTCGGCTCCTCTGCTGGTGCTTTAGGAAACCTCCTTGGAGGCATTGCTCTCAGCTATTTTTCTCCCAAAATCATGTTTCTGTTTTTCGCAATCCTTCTCCTGCTCCAGTTCTTCACAACCGTGGCTATACCTGAGAGCTCTCTCAAACTCCCAAAGGCAGCTACTGCTACCAATCTATCAGCACTCACCAGCATCCGTAAGCAAGTCAAAGAGCTGTCATGTGCCCTATCTATGCCTGAAATGTTTTGGTCAATCATATGGTTTACAGTGTCTTACGCCGTCATACCTTTTCTACTTGGGACCATGTTCTTCTATCAGACTGAAGTGTTAAGACTAGACTCATCAGTTATCGGCTTATCAAAGGTGTTTGGGCAAGTAGCTCTCTTGGCTTGGAGCATGTCATACAACAAGTACTTCAAAACAATGTCCGCCCGGAAGGTCCTATCAGTTCTGCAGTTTGTCACAGCAGTCATAATGTTGTCAGATGTGTTATTCGTTCAGGGAATATACAGAAAGGTTGGAATACCAGACTCCATATATACAATTGTCTTCTCCGGGTTGCTCGAGGGTCTTATGTTTTTCAAGGTGCTGCCCTTCAGTGTTCATATTGCAAAACTTTGCCCTGCTGGTTGTGAGGGATCCGTAATGGCCTTTGTCATGTCCGCACTTGCTCTTGCCACTATCGTCAGTGGCTATCTTGGAGTTGCTCTTGCTGCCTTAATGGGAGTATCTGGAGATGATTTCTCAGCACTGCCAGCTTGCCTGTTGATTGAGGCTGCGTGCACAATGCTGCCACTATGTTGCTCGTCTTTGATCAAAGAGAGAAGAGAAAAGGAGAAGAAAGAAGAGTAGAATACATATATATTATTTGGATGGAGATGATGTATCGCTCATTGTTGGGCTTTACCCTCAACCTTTTGGTCTCATTTCAGTTTCATTATGTGATCATAGCATGGAGAAACAAAATAGGAGAAGATTAGATTTGTCCCGGTGTTAACCTCTAAGGCTTCTCAAGAACTATCGTCAAACAACGAGCATATATATGTACATATACATGCTTGCCACTACCATTCTTCTACAAATTTAGTATTACTTTATGTAACTAGCTAGTTACGTCGTTTTATGTAATGTTTTGCCTGTTACATGTGTTTTATATGGACAGTTTAATTTGCTTATGTTGCCTCATTGCCCATGCTTGTACCTCTCTTCCACAAAGAAATTGTACTACACATCGTGTCAAAAAAATAAAAAAAAATTGTACTACACATTATAGTGGTAAACTGTTTGATGATGGATATCGAACCATTGTTATGTCTAGAATGTAGCCTGAAGAAATTAACATCACAGAGGTGGGTTTTACACATCGTAAGATGACGGAGATCGTAGGGCGTAAGGTAGATGTGCGAAGGAAAAAAAAAAGAGGCCAGATTCAACTGCAATGATCTTATCAGCTTGCTGCGTTATTTCTGTAGCCATTGTAAAATGTCATTCGATTTATGCTGACTTTTTTATATTTTGAAAAAAGAATGGTCCGCACATATGTTCTTTTTAAAGCTCACCTAGCATAATACCAGGGGCAGGCACGGGGGTATTGAATCTCCATTATTTTTGCTAACTAATGGTATACAAGTGTATCAATCGATTATAGATGTCACATAATAGGTTGAAGCAGTCAATTTTCTTTATCTTATATAAAATATTGTATACACGTTCTTCAAAATCCGAGACAACAGCATCAGCACATTTATAAAAATATTGAATACACGTTCTTCAAATCCAGGGATAACACCACGAGGTTCATTTCCTAGTGTTGAACTTATTCAGTTAAACAAGTTGGACTGCGTTCAACCCTAAAACTTAGAACCGCAGATGATGCTACTCCAGCTGACATAATATACCTACCTAACTGAACTTTTGCTGCACGCCGAGCTCTGCCAATCCCTCTATACTCAGTACGAGAAAATGGAAGGAAGACGAATCATTTTAAAAATTAAGGAAGAACAAAATCTGCAATGACATACAAACTATCATATTAATATTGATGAATAAAATTCGCATTGTTCATTGCTATTGGCTTTACAAGAAAAGAAACGCCTGTTCCTTGCGATATTACATTTAAACTCTGAAACTTGAACTAACAGCACAAATGAGTATTAATGGCATTTACTATTTCTGTTGAAAATGCAATCAACAGCTGCACTAGCTGTTAACTACAAGAAAATCAGCACCAATTGGTAGATGATCGCTAGGATGTTGAAAGTTGGGCAAGCCTCCTTTCACATCCTCAGAATCCCCTCGCGGCAAACAAAGTAGGCTAGTAGGTTTTATTGAACTACCATCCGACAAGAATATGTAGTCCAGTGTTCCAGTAAAACCAGGAGTGTAATTTGTGTACTCTGGCTCCCCTCCATTCGCAGCATAAAGGCTGCGTAACTTGATTGGAGCTTCATCTGTAGATTCTAGGTTGGCAGATACAAGGCAATTGTATACCTGAAAATTGTAGTATTTAATCAGATGGGGTGGGACAAAGTTGTATTGAACCCAAAATCAACACTGGTTAACAGATTATGTTATATCATGAAACCAATATGTGAGTTGCTGTGCACAAAGTTCCCTTTCTAATATCGTCCAATAGAGCATGGATCTACAATTATGTCCATAAATCCATTCATTATAAGATATTTTTGCGTCCCATGTGGTCCATACATGTCCAAGAAACGTAATGGTATTTTTTTATATAAAAAAGGACCTCTCAGAATCACATCTATGATGTTCTAATTATACTTTGTATTACACTAGATAGAAATAATAGCAAAAGCACGACATGACGTTTTTTCAAGTCAATCAGCTTCAGGAAGCAATGAAATAAATGCAAGGCATACCTTGTCACCAGGGGTCGAATTGAAGTCACCAGCAATGATCACTGAAGGTTTACAATTATATTTATTTGAGATGAGTTGCTCAAACTGAGATACTCTCGAAAGAAGATATTTTGCCTGAGCTAACTTTACATCGATCCATTCTGGGTCCCTACAGAAATATGCATCAACCAGAAATTTATACATTTGCTGGACAGCTGTCAACCAATATAGCTAAGACCAAACACAACAAAAATATCCAGTTTGTGAAAGCATATTCCAAAGAGAGTAAAATTTTCTGTTTCACTTGCCAATAAATATGTGTGTTTGCCACAATTAAAATGTGATCACAAGGATCACTAAGCTTGAAAGCTGCGAGTAGACCAACACAGTCACGCTTCAATCTTACGCGTGGATCATTTGGATCTCCACGCTTGCTATTATCTGTTTTTGCATTCTTGTCTGGAAAAAGAGAGAGAAAAACATCATGGAGTATTAACGTCAAGCATCAGACCAGGCAAGAGATAAATCCAAAGTACAGGAAATAGCTACAGTATGAGGTTAGAGGAGTCTGTTAACTCATTAGACACTGATATATAATGCATCTCCAATGACAGATTTATTAAGCGTTAAGAACAAAACAAAAAACAGCCCGTTCTAATATATAGCTTGTAACTTGTAAGTAGCATTATTAGCCCAGATTACAACTTTAAAGACTCATGGCGGAGCACCCTACTGTGATTCACGTGAGATTATTATAGTAGGATACAAGTCCAATTACCTTCTTCTGTTGAAGAATTATTTTCCAGGGCACTATTTACATGATCACTAGGAACGTATTTTTCCACTAAATCATTGTAATGTATTCCTTCTTTCTGCACCAGTTCTGCACTGCAAAGGTAAGAGAGTCGAAGAAAAGTGATGAGGTTAAAATACTTTTTGCAGTGCACATAAAGACGTTAAGTCCCAGAAGACCCAACATGTTCCATGTTCAACTTTCTAGATCACTGATCATTTATTTAGAAGAAATTATTCCCAAACTGAAGGTGTAGCTATTAGTGATCAGTTTCCATGAAATCGTCCATAGTAAATTGGATGCAAGAGAACACATATTTTGATGGGTGAGGTTAAATGTTACTTTTTTTTCCCTCGGATCAGTAGCTGTTGTGACATGTTTAAGGAAAAATATTAATACCTTTTAAGTTTATAGAATATACCACAGCCATCTCTTTTGTCTCCAGATCGCTGAATGTAAATACTTGAATATCCAGAGTTTTCCATATTTTTCTTGTAGAAGGTATCATACTCATCCAACTCCTGCGCATTGCGCAAGTCACATGAATTATATATTGCTTACAAGTATGAACCAGAAGAGAATCATTCCACACAAAAGAGACTGACCATTGATAGTAGGAATGCCAGCATCCCAAAAAACTTATTTGTGAACAAATAGGACAAGGATAATTTTGAACCACATGTGATAGCTGGAATCTAGTTGGGCAAAACCCAAATTCAGTTTCTGAGAGGAAAGTAAAATTAAGACATACTAACCTAACATTACATTACAAACCCTACTGGGCCATGTCATTGACGCCATCTAGTGAGAGGGTGGAATTGTTTCATAAGAAAAAAAAAATAAACACCATTACTACTCCATCTTGCAACCCCTTGCCTCATTATCAGCATAAGTACAGGTATCGTATCGTACCATAAACAAATGAAGTTTGCTACTGGTCCTGGGTGCCAAGGAACAGAAGGAGCAGCTGTGGACAGACGACAAAGACAGGAAAGCCAGGAATATAGAGAGGACTCAGAGGACAGGAAGAAAAGAAGCAGATTCTCCTTTTTTTTTTTTGGACAAGATGGCACACACAAGGTAGGATGTGACTTCCTCTATACTTGGCCAACAATGCCACAACAGCACAATCTGTTGGATTTCTTCATATTCATTGGCAAAATTTTGGGGTGCTACAAAACCCTAGATAATAAGAATAAAATTTGAACTGAAAAGCCAACATATTCTGCAAAGTAACCAAAGTAACAGTAAACACTGCAGAACATTGTATGACCACGCAGATGACATACATAAAGGGTGTTATTATATGCTAAAACTTCACATATGAAAGACAACCTGTATGCACATGAGGTCAGCATCAAAGCTCTTCAGTTCTGTAAGAATAGCTTTCGATCGAGATTTCCACCTATTTTGCAAACATGAAAGAGGAACATAAGTTAGGGGTCATGTTGTCAATATATGTTGTGACAATTAAATAGTATAATAGTACTCCCTCCATTCCAAATTATAAGTCATTTTGGCTTTCTTAGACACAAAGATTTTACAATGCATCTAGACATAGCATATATCTAGGTACATAGCAAAAGATATGTACCTAGAAAAGCCAAAACAACTTACAATCTGGAACAGAGGGAGTATATATATGTTTATGAGCAAAGTCTAAATGCTGTATTGCTTAGCAAACACGTCGTCCAGTTTGATTAAGATCTGCTGGGTAACCCTTCATGGAACCAAATTTGTATATTTCAATATCACTTTGTTCGACTTATGAAGCCTAGTTCAAGTAAGCCACATGGAAATAGTTAGATAAGGAAATGCCAACGATTTCTTCCTTTCAGACACCATGACTAACAGCATTAGAACCATAAGTACCATGACTGTAAGGAAAATCCAATAAATAGCACAAACAAGTGGTCAATCAAGGGCTTACTTGAGGCACGCAGATGGAGAATGAGGAAAAAACGTACTCTTAACATAAACCTGCAACACAGAGCAGACTATTAGGCACGGTTGGCAACCCCAACCCACTATCATCCACCTATGCCAGAAAGCTTAAGCAAAAACAGACACACCTGGGCCAAGATGTTGTAAGAGACCAGCCGGAACTGGTACCCTGCAGCCACTGGAAGCCAAAACCCGAAATGAATATTAGCATCGATCGCACAGGAATTCCACAATTGCAAGGGTCAGTGATACTGATTACATCTTTAAGATTTCAGGGCTGACGAGGACTGACCGGCATCTGTTTGGGATTCAATTTGCTCCGTAGGGAGAGGGGCGAACCTGGGCTGCGCCAGCGTGCTCATCCGCCGCTTGCAAACCCTAATTTTGCGGATCCGCTGAAACGTTAGAACTAAGAGGGCAAGAGAGGAAAGAAGGGGCAGGGTTAGGGGTGGGAATGCCCTCACGGGAGAAAGGAGAGCCGCCGGTCACCGGCAGGAGATGGGCTGGCCGCGGATCTCGAGCGGCGGCGGATGAGGAGGAGAGGGAGGGAAGCTGCCCACGACGTCTGCGGTTTTAGCATCGGTGGCGCCCCTTTCGATAGGTTCCCCGGCTTGTTCCGCCGCCGCCGAGACGGCTTCGACGAGGGGGCTTTTTGGAATTCGACCTGCAAGTGGGTTTCGGTGATTTGCCATTATTTAATGGGGCTTCATCACCTTGCCATTACGAAATGCGACTCATCCGTCAGAATGACATTCGAGAGGTTTGGAACCCTTTTCTTCCTCTTCTACCCATGTTCGTTTCCTCTTTCTTTCTTCGGTGCTCGCACAGACGGAACGGAGGGGCGCACAAACAGATCGGTTGTTGCTGCTTCGCCGAGCACCGAGCGAGGCACCCCCACGACGAGCACACCCCCCCCATCCACTTGCAAGCCCCCCCCACACACACACCACCACAATGAGCACCCACCCCACCCACTTCATGAACCCACCCAGCCCCCACGCGCCTCAAATACCAACGCCCCCACTCAGCCCCTCCGCCACCCTCCCCCCCCACGCGGACCATGGAGTACAACCGCGACAACGACGCCTCAAGGTCGGCCATGGAGAACAAAGCAGTACTCGATCTCAAAGTCAAGGATTTCAAACAATGAACTCCCTCTTGTTCATTGCGAGTCTTTCGTAAGTGCTTGGGTTTCTCAAGGTCTTGACAAATGAAGACGGACAAGAACTACGGCCGCCGGTTCTACATTTGTCCAACTCGAACGGTGAGAATAGTTAGCTGTAAATTTTGTGTGATGTATTTTGTGTGATTTGATGACTGAGTTGATTTCATTGGTTTCCCTTTATTTGGCGACAGAGAGAAGGTGCTGGTTGTCCATTTTGGGAGTGGGAAGAGGGGTATGAGCAATACTTGGTTGATAATAAATTAGTGCCTTCAGATTATCAATCTATTTTCGAGTCTACTAAGTTGCCGCAGCAAGTCCTAATTGTCGAAAACAAGGCGAACTGTGGAGAATCAAGCCAGGAAGAACAACTTAAGCATCTTAGGGTGATAGTAATGCTGCTGAAATGTTTGATTCTTGTTTGTGAACTTGTGTTAGTTAGCAATTTGTATGCAATTATCGAGAGTGGGTGAATCTTGTATACTTGTATACATTAGCAATTTTGTGTGCCAATGTATCAAGTTTGCAGTAGTAGCAAGTACCAAATATATGCTTTAGACCCTGTAATTTTAGTTTGAGCCAGAAAGATTCTAGCTCTGTTCTTTGTCGAAGTGTATTTGGTAAATAAATGAGATTCTCTGTTCTGTCGAAGTCTGATATCCTGGGATGGAAATCAGCGTCAAGCATAATGTTATTTGTTTTGAGATTGCCGTGAATGATTGGTTTCTGCAATGCTGTGTGAAGGTGGTCTAGTCCTTTGACAATGCCCATAGACAGCTTGCAAATTATTTCCCATCTCTGTGAATCAGTGATTCCCTCTGCAGGTCAGAAGAACAGATAAAGATGAGAAGTGCAACCAATCTGCACCAGTTGCAACCAGGTGCAGGAAACCACAAACAGTTCAGAAGTGCCACAATTCCACCAACATAAAGCCCAGAATAAGACATGGAAACAGCTAAAGATGCATTTCTCTGTCATTCATCAAGTTTTAGATTTTCCACCAACATAAAGCATAGATTTTTCATCTATTCCAGTGCAGTAGTAGTAACAACATACAATCAAGTTTTAGAAACACACAAAGCTGGTTCATCAAGTTTCAGAAACACACAAGTTTCAGTAACAACATACAAACTCATACAAGACACAGGTTCATCAAGTTTCATATAGGACACAGTTTCAGAAACACATAGGTTACGAAAATGATAGGTTCTCAGATTTTTTTCATTTTCCTTGGGACCAACTTCTTCGGTGTCGTTCTCTTCTTTCTTGGTGTTCCTTGAGTAGTGCTGGGAGACCCATCAATAGGTTGGCCATCTGTGCCTTCTCCCATCAAGAATGCCAAGCGACTAAAAAAAGGAAGAAAATTAAGTAACTGTACAATCAAGTTTCAAGAAGTATAGATGACTGTGTTTACCTTCTTGTCAGCCTAATTGGGTTGTCTTGCAAGATTGTTTCATTATTCGGTTTGGTGGGGCTGGTTACTACAATTGAATCTTCTGCAACAAATGGGACTATAGCAGTTTCATTCAAGGCTTGCACAGTTGCATTCTCAGCTTGCATAGTTGCATTATCAGCTTGCACAATAGGGTTTTCAGACTCCTTGTCTTGCTTCTTTGCCCTTTTTGTTGGGACTTTAGCATTTGGCCCATATTTAGTAGTATTTTTCCTAAGCTTTCTTTTCCTGTAGGGAGAAAAAAATATTAGTTGCCTGCAATTAATCAATAAACAACATGGTGCAATCGATCAATAAAACGAAGAATAAAAGATGTTATATTTTCTTTGTCCCATTTAGCTTGCACTTATAGCTAGTTTCTCTATGACCCAGTTCACCGCATTGCTTGCACTTCCTTTTCCCTGCAATTAGTTGCCTCTTTTCCTTAGCAGCTTCAATTTCTGCATCCTTATCGGCCTGATTGGCAGCATCCTTTGCATCTTTTTTTCTCATGCCACCACTTTCCCCCTCCAGACATCCTTTGATTCTCAGTTTTTTGGGCTTTCCAGCAGGTCTTTTAGCTAATGGGGCGTTAACTACAAAGTCAAGCACAACTTCAGACCACTGGGTCTTATCTGGAAGTGGCTCTATCAGTCTCTTATAAGCATTTTTGAACCTTTCCACTGAGTAATAATCATGAACAAAGTCTTCCATCTAATTTTCACAACTTTGTTGTGCTGTTATGAGGACCAAGGCATGCTGACAAGGTTTTCCAGTGTGCTGCCACTGAACACAGGTACATTCATGCAAATGTGACTTGACAACATGCCTGTTATGTGTGCTGGTTGTGTCATGTATCTCTGTGGCAAAAGCACCTGCCTCCACAACTATTAGGTTTTCTAAATCCCTAGTCCTTGCTTTCAATTGTTGTAGTACTGCAGGTAGAATCCTACCATGAAGCTTCTCTAAAATTGCACGTCTCTTGTTCCATAGTGTCATTATCATCTCTCTAATCTTGTTAGCAAGCTCAGCTATAGGTAGGTCTTTCCAATCTTTGATCCAATTATTGAAACTCTTTGCAAGGTTGTTGGTAATATAGTCACACTTGATTTTAGGGTTGAAGGCACTTCTCATCTATAACAATTTGTGATGGTTTTGAAGCCATTCCAATACATCAGGGCTAGCTGTCACAATTTGGTTCAAGAAATATCTGAATACTTGAGGCCTATATGTTCTTGCTGTAGGATACATCTTTGAAAAAATATCTCCCCCAAATCTTTTAATAAAATTCTGCATTAGATGCCTAAAACAATCTCTATGTTCAGCTTGAGGGAACACATCTTTTACTGCTTTTTCTAACCCTTTGTATGCATCAGTGCAAATAACAAGTACTGGTAGGTGTCCTATGGCCTTATGTAGCTGACTCATAAACCATGTCCAATTATCTATTGTCTCACCATCTATGAACCCAAGAGCAAGTGGATACATCCAATTGTGACCATCTATAGCAGTAGCTGCAGCCATATGCCCATTCCATCTACCATTAAGTGATGTTGAGTCTATGCTAACATAAGGCCTACAACCCTCCAAAAAACCCTCAATGCAAGGACTTAATGTACAAAAAAATCTGTGGAAGTAGAATTTCCCATCTACATGCTTTATGTCAATTTCAATGACACTTCCAGGTGGTCGCTGCAGTACCTCTGCCCTCCAATTGAACAACATTTCGAAGTTCTATTGCCAGCTGCCAAACAACTCCTCCAAGGCAATTTGTCTTCCCTTCCATACGGTGTCATAGTGAATCTGACACTTGTGCTCATCTTGTAGTAGTTTCTGCATGTTTTTGGTGCCTATGGTGGAATCCTTCCTGAGGTGATGAATGGCCTTTGATGCCACCTAGGCACTTGATGGAGTGGTGGTCCTCCTCCTTGCGCTAGAAGTATAGGTATGCAGAGCAATTAAAGCTGTAACCTGCAACAAGCCAATAGCCAAAATATTAGCTATTTACAACCAAAAAAATGGTGACATAAAGTAAGCAAAAGTTATACACCTTGACGGCTATCCCATCAGGTTGTGTTCGCCCATTAATATGCCAAGGGCAATCATCTGCATTGCAATCAGCAATGTATCTCTTCTTATCTGTTTTGACTAAGTGCAGTTCAAACTCATTTATTGCAAATTGTTTCATAGCCAGTCTAAACTCCTTCATGTTTGGATACACGGTGCCAATATCCATACAAGGCTTGTTAGGATCATAAGCATAGAGTCTTTCCCCTGGTACATGATCATCAACAGGAATTGCAGCACTAGTTGTGTCAATGTCAATGTCAGCAGTTCTATTTCCAGCTAGGCTGTCCCTCTCAGCAGCAGCCTAAGCCTTAGTCTCACTAGGCCTATCATGCTGATCATCATTAGTTCTCAAACCTAAAAGACAGAACAACTGATCCTCATCAATTATATCTAGCACACACTCACCCTCTTCATCAACTGTATCAGCAATCTGCAGTCTGTCCCAATCAACACCTCCATAACATTCTACAGCCTGTGAACTGCCAAGGACATCACATGTTCCCTGTTCTACAGGCTTATCATTGCTACCAACATCTCCAATTTGTTCTACTGCATCTACACTAACCTCAGGCTCCGCATCGAGCCTGGAGAAATTGGGAAAAAATTTGGCAAGGTCACTGTATTGGCTTCCCAAACTGAGTTAGAGGAATACAAACACTGCAAGAAAGAGGAATTATACCGAATGAGGTCACTCCATCTACAGTCCATGGGGATTTTGATTACTCTTTGTTACCCGAGCAAATCACCATGGGTGGGCTCACCGTGGGGGGCCACTCGCCGTGGGTGGGGGCGCTGGGCCCTAGGGGCGTGGGGGCTCTAGGCCGCTCGCCATGGGTAGGGGTGGGTGCTCGCTGTGGTTGGGGGTGCTTGCCGTGGATGGGGGTGCTCGCCGTGGGGGTGCCTCGCTCGGTGCTTAGCGAAGCAGCAGCAGCTGATCCGTTCCGTCTATGCGAGCACCGAAGAAAGAAAGAGGAAACGGACAGGGGCAGAAGAGGAAGAAAAGGGTTCCAAAGCTCTCGGATGGCATTTTGGCGGATGGGTCGCGTTTCGTAATGGCAAAGTGGCGAAGCCCCGTTGCGGGATGGCAAATCACCGAAGCCCACTTTCCATAATGGTCGAATTCCAAAAAGCCCCCAATGAGGAGGATGTTTGAATCTGATCTGATAAGTGAGTCCCATTTGTCAATGGCTGTATGATGTTTTTTAACAATGGTTGTATGATGTAGTCCTCTTGTCCCAAATTATCTGTCGTTTTTTTGTTTCCGTACAAATTTGACTCAATTTGTAGACAATATGTGCAGCATTTGCATCTCTAAATAAATTTATTAAAAAACTAGATTCAAAGATCTTTCCAATGATACCAATTATGTACCATAAATATTAATATTTTTAATATATATTTTATCAAAGTTATTTCTCAAAAAGCGAAAACGATTGGTATTTTGGAAAGGAGGGAGTAGGTTATGTGCACAGTCACTCAGCATTAATGTAATGTTTGGATGGAGACGGGGATTGGGATAGAGATAAGGAGATACTGTATTCTACCCGTTTGTTCTTTACACCTCATTTAATCCTAGTCATTCATTCATTTCACTTTTCCTATCCCACCCCCTATATCCCAATATCCAAACGCCACCTAAGGAATAAGGATGCAAAATTGGAAATGCATTGAACACAGAGGGCGTGCATGAATCTCTTAAAATTGAAGATCCATGGTGTGTTTGGTTTTTGTTCAGAACTCATCCTGTTTTTGTGACCGAGAATATGCAACCTACTAATACTATACATCCCAATCTAGGAATGGAAAATAGTTATTTTTCTACATCAAATCACTCTAAGACACGTGAATTGGAGTGGATTGAGGTGTAGCCAAGCAAGCCCTGAGTCTTTAGACAATGGGGTAGCTTTTTCACACAATTAGTATCAACAATTAGCAGCCCCACATGATAACCACTAGCCCCACCTGTCATCCGTTGTCCCTATGCCTTCTTCCTAAGATATATCCTTTGTCCCACAGGCTACAACCATCTTGAGATTGTAAAGCCAGCATTCCAGAGGAGGTTGCGAGGCTAGCAGAGCGAGCTCGACGGGTGGAGCAAGCGGTAGGGCGAAGCTACTGAGCATCGGGGTTGGCAACGAGTCATGGAATAGGTAGCGATGTGGGGCAGCTATTAGGCAGTTGAGTTGACGGAGAAGCATGACTGACAAGCAACGGGGGCAGCAGCGGAGTGTAGTTGATGGAGCTTTGCAGGTAGAATGAGCAACGTTGTGAGGCAGGCGAACGAGGCGGGCGACGTAGCGGGGCTGGCAGATCTCGGTTTGCGAGTGAGCAGCGCAGCGGGGTGGAGTTGGTGAGCTCCCCTAGTGGCGGGGCCGACAAGCTAGGGGGAAGGTGGAGTGGCGGAGCTCAGCGGAGGCTAGGTGGAGACAAAATGTAGGATCTCTGGTTAGCCTACAGGGGGATGAATAGGCTTGTTAAAACAAAACTTGAACTTTTATCAAATTCAACTCGTGGCACTACGGCACTACCGAGCCAGAATAGCGGCGCTGCCGCACCTACAGACAACTTCGTGATGTAATTTAAAATCTATAAAAGAAAACTTGGATCCAAGAGGTTACTGAGGTCCCTGCAGGTATATTGAACACAGATCGACAGCAAGAAATGGTAGAAACACCACACACAAGTAGATCCTCCTCAAACCCTAGAAATCACCTCAACAACAATATGAATCACAAGAATATAAAGCAAGCACAAGGTGACACAATAATTTATCTCGTGGTTCAGCTCGTCACTAAGGCTTACCTAAGTCCACGTTGTTGAGATTAGCCACTAAGGCTTAGGGCTTTCCAATCCTTCCTCGTTCTCAAGTCAAGAGACTTAACTCTTGAGATGAGGGGTGAGTTTACTAGCTGCAAGAGTTGGTTACAAACCTCCTGGGGCTGCCACACAAGTTGGCAAGCTCCAAGGGCGACGCTCTAGCCGGCAAGAAGCCAAGCTCCAAGAGTAACAAACACAACCACCGGCCAAAACATGAACCAAGTGCTCTTTAGAGGTTGGGAATCAGTGGATCCGCTCTCTAATCGAATTTGGCACCTTTTTCTCTCAAGAATTGATGGGGAAATCAATGGAGAAGTTTGGGAGCTCAAGGTCACCAATGGAGAAGAGAGAGAAGCACTTTTCTATTTCTGCACGAGCTGAACGGTTTTGGAAAGAAGAGAGAGAGTTGAGGAGAAAGGGGAAAGGTATAATGCCCCTCAGCCCCCAACGGTCACTTGAGTCACAGTAGTGCCATGGCTCAAGTGCGGCAGTGCCTCTCTCCAGGTGCGGCACTGTCGCACCAGGCAAGACAGCAAGGATAAGATTGAAGTGATGGCTGTCTTGGTTGTGAAACTGATGATATATGTGTAGGTTGAGCACTTGGTAGCACATGTTAGCTTAAGCATTGTGTCCCCCTTTATAGTATGACTTTTCCTATACTCAAATTTAAAATATAAAAGAATTTAAACCTCCTTTGAATTTGAAGCCATCAATATTTGTAATTGGGGGCTCCTCCGTTTCGTATAACATCCTCGATTATAGATTGCCTACTTGTCATCTCGATAAATCTCATTAGTCCTCTAATTGTGTGGTCATTATCACCAAAACCCATAATTAGGGTTTGCTTGCACTTTCAATCTCTCCTTTTTTTGTTATTGATGTCGCAGAACCGACCAATTTATAAGAGTACAAGTACAATGGCGTCCCGCAAGCGGTCGCACTGTCATACTTGAACCCATATAAACCTGGTAGTCCGTCAAGTACCACGACGGGTCTCGATAAATGATTTACAACAACCAAGATCATACATGATTCAACATACATGCCACATATTACATAAAATTCACAGATACATTTTCATCATCAGAGTATGAAACCAGTTACTACAAACCGAGTTTGATAGATAAAGCGGAAGCAATTAAGTTCGAAAGTAAAGTTTCCAACATAGTTTGATACAGTGCCAAGATACGATCACGGTCCACAAAAGCATGTAGAAGGATTAATAAGAAGCCTGCCAAGGCTTACTCCTCATCCACAGCGGGATAGAAGCAACTCTTGCAATAACCATGATATACAGTGCCATCTGCAACATGGGAAATAAAACCCTGAGTACGAGAAGGTACTCAGCTAGACTTACCCATCGTAAACTAGAAATAAAATGACTCCAAGGATTATGCAAGGATGTATAGGTGGAGATAGCTTGACAACATTTTGCATAAAAGCGATTAACTTAGCTATACAATTATGGTTCCAATATCAGGTTAATTATAACTATCCATCTCTAGATTAGCAACTATCCTGTGCCAAACATGTGGTATATCCATTTAAAAGCATACAATAGTAACCATAGCAGGTATTGTAATTCCATATTCATTCGAACCATCATGTTCCATAACACAGTTACTACGATGTTGGGACTAGCCAAGTTTCTCACTATCCGAGAGAGACGGCGATTCGAATCGATTTCAACCAGCTGGGAATTTATTCCTAACACAAACCTAGGCATACCGCGCGAAGGCAGCCTTAGGTCACCTTTAGTACAACTCAGGTCTACATTTCGTGGGTCCATACTGTGCCGCACAATCCGGGACACCAGATGCTAGGATGTTCAGGCCTAGCCTGCCCTTGGACTCAGTCTGATCGCCCCCCGCAAGGAGCACACAACAAAATGGGTCCCGACCTGAGTTGAATTACTCGGCTTCGTGGTCGGAACGAGTTATCCGGCCAGCTAAGTGATAGGCATGCGTTCAATCTTGTCAGAAGCACCAACAACGGTACGGTCCTTAATCGACACAGACGGGGATAGATCCACACCCAAGACCTCCATGTCTTGTTGCTTCTCTATCGACATCCCGCCCGGTCTCTATTTACATTACCCATGGTTCTTTTCCCACGATAGCAAATATAGCCAACCGTGCTCCGGTATCCACCTATACTCCCTCCGTACTCGTAAAGGAAGTCGTTTAGGACAAGGTTTGAGTCATACATTGGGAATATAAATCATGAATAACTCTCAAGTTGTTGAGTTTGAAAATGTGAAAATTATATGAATAGATTTGTCTTAAAAAATACTTTCATAAAAGTATACATATATCACTTTTTGTTAAATATTTTTATTGAAACAAGAAGTTAAAGTTGTGTTTTGGAGACCGTGTCGCTGTCCAAAACGACTTTCTTTACGAGTACGGAGGGAGTATCTCGCAGGTGACAGGAAATCACCCGACTTCTACCGGTCTAAGCATGGCTAAGCATATATTCGTTCCTGGACCTATACCGGTTAAAGGTGTAATAGCTGGACAAGGAATTTATATGCATCAAGTGGTTCCATTCAACTTTTATAACCTAATGCATCAATCATAAGTACTTAAGTAATCATTTATAAAATACTAGGAGACTTAGAATGCTCCGGGGCTTGCCTCGCAGAAAGGAAGTGGGGCGGTGATCAGGACACTCCGGAAGCTCTTCAGGATTCTGCTCCTCGCCTTCGGGAGCTGCGACTTGAGGATTCTCCTGCTGGTCCCCTTCCTCTACTTCGTCGAATT